GCCCCACTTCTCTCTCCCCAGTCCTGCTTCCTGCTTTTCCCTTCTAGAGACATCAGTCCCAAAAGCACTCTCTAATAAACCTCCTGCACTTTGATTGCCACCTCAGTCTGCTTTCCAGGGAACTCAACCTGCAACAGATAAGGTTATTGTTTAACTTACCTTTGAAGGATCTTGGAATTAACTTCAAACACATCAGAACTGTGTGGCGTGAAGAACTGACATGAGTTGGGAAGCTTTCTAGTTTTTATATCTTTCTCAGGATGTAAATAATAAAATAACAGAAATTCTTTTAAAATTAGCACTGCTCCTGCACGGGAGAGATGTGGCAGTTTGCTTCTGTAAAGATTTGCAACCTTGGAAACCCTATGGGGCAGTTCTACTCTGTCCTGTAGGTAGGGACAGATTACTCAATAAACAAGGCAAGCACAATTAAACCCATGCGTACCTTGCTTACTGTAAGATGGTGCATACCATGCTTACTGGCTCATCTGCCCCTGCCTGTAGGGTTGCTGGGAGTCGGAATTAGACTCTACAGCAATGGGTACTGCTACTGCATTGCTTATCATATAACTATAAGGGTTGGGAGAAACATTATGGGAGAAGAATCCATAGGTTCTAGAGACTGATTAACATAGAATTGGGGAGAGAAAGGAGTCCAAGATGATTGAGATTTTGAACCTTTGTGATTGAGAGATGATACCAGCATACACAAAGAGGCTGTCCAGACTGTGGAACTTTGCAATAATGAAATAGCATGTGTAATAAAAGAACAAAAATTCAAAATTTATTCTTGTATTGGGAGGTAGTATGGGGTAGGGTTTGGAGCTCGGACCTGAGAGCCAGGCTGCTTAAGTTAGAATCTTGGCTTCACTACTTCTTTTCTGTGTGACCCTGGGAAAATCACTTAACCTCTCTGTGACATATTGTTCTCATTTGTAAAACAAGGATAATAATACTTTATAGGATTGTGGTGAGCATTAAATGAGTTTGTGTGTGTGTGTGTGTGTGTGTGTGTGTATGTATCTCTTTTAAAAAATTCCATAAGTATTATATGTTATTTTATTCACAAAGTTAAAAGAAATTATGCAGTTAAATCTGTTGGTCATTTTATTGCTTCTAAGCAAAAATATAAGTCTTCCATTTTCTTGGGCAGTGCTGTGTCCAGTAGAAATATAATGCAAGCGACATGTGTAATTTTAAATTTTCTAGTAGCCATATAGGAGCCCTAGTGGCGCAGTGGTTAAGAGCTTGGCTCCTAACCAAAAGGTTAGCAGTTCGAATCTGCCAGCTGCTCCTTGGATACACTATGGGGCAGTTCTGCTCTGTCCTATAGGGTCACTATGAGTTGGAATCGACAAAATGGCAACAGGTTTTTTTTGGTTTAGTAGCCACATTAAAAAATGGATTTTAATAATAATTTTGTTTAATCCAATATATGCCCAATATTATAATTTCAGCATGTAAATACTGTAAAACTTAGTACTCAGATAGTTTATATTTTTTATCAAAATTTGAAGTCTTAGACATCTGGAGTGTACTTCATAATTGCAGCATATTTCAATTCGGGCTAGTAACATTTCAATAGCCACATGTAGTTAGACATTATTATATAGGATAGCTTTAGAGCTTCGCTGGGTAATCTTTCTCGTTTCATACGTTTTTGTTATTTATGGTTGTGAGATAATCTACCCCAAAATTTAGTATCTTAAAACAACAATGGTTTATTATTTCTAATAATTCTTACTCATCCAGCTTTTACATACTAGTTTTATAATCCATTGATTATTATTGTCTGAATCAGTTATTACCATGATGGTTGCAAACTTTTCTAATTCTATAATTCCTTCTACTTTTATTAGTTAGTATTCTATTGTAAACAAGAACTTTTGCTTCTCCCCTTAGACTTAATTATTATAGCAGCATAAATCCACAGAATCTTGTTTTATTCAGTAGGTTATAATCGATTACTGCTGTTATTTATTTTAATGTTCAAATTGTCTGAGCATAATATTTTTAATAGAGCAAACACTTTCTCCATGTGTGATGAGTTACCTGGTAAATGAGAACAAATTCTGCTATGTGGGAATATCACAAGTTGAGATATTCCCAAAGCATAATTAAAGAATTTCAAAGCTAAATTTTGTGCAAATTAAACCCTTCCCATAATAATATTTTGCTAACCAAACTAAAACAAAACAAAGGATCCAAGATAAATGCTAAATCAGGACGCTGATATAACAGGTATAATCTGGGACCATCCTGGTGAGTGCTTCCCCTGTCTAAAAGGCTTTTCATCATCAGGCCCAACCTCATCTGTTACTGCCTGCCCCCTCTCACTGTCTGTGGTCTTGTTTCATTGGGCTCTTTACACTTTCCAAATCTGATAGACTCACGTTGGCTTTGACTCCTTTGCGTTGGCTGCTTCTCTGCCTGGACACTCTTCCCCTCCTTCCTCACCTGGCTAATTCCTCTGTATCTTACAACCCTAGACTCTGGCATCATTTTCACTGGATACTTTCCCCTGATCCAGATTACAGTGTAGTCTGGGTTGGGTGTCCCCCCATTGTGTTCCCTGTCCTGCCTCACTCATAGCCCTTCCACATTGAACTATAATTATCTATTTATTTGTTCCTCTTTCTCCCCCGCTTTAAAACATTTTTTGTCCAAACCAAACCACCCTCCGCAAAAAACAAAACAAAAAACCCAAACCTGTTGCTGTTCAGTTGATTCTGACTCATAGCCACCCTATAGAACAGGGTAGAATTGCCCTATGAGGTTTCCAAGGCTGTCAGTCTTTCCAGAAGCGGACTGCCACATCTTTCTCCCACAGAGAGGGTGGTGGGTTCGAATTGCTAACCTTTCAGTTAGCATCCAAGTGCTTAACTGCTGTTCCACCAGGGCACCAGTGTCCTTTTATTTAAGAGTCCTGCTTTTTGTGTGGCGACACCCAGTTGCCATCAAGTCATAATGGACTTACGGTGACCTCATGAATGTCAGAGTAGAAATGTGCTCCTTTGGGTTTTCAATGAGTGATTGCCTGGCCTTTCTTTCAAGGTGCCTCTGAGTGGATTTGAACCTCCAGCATTTTGGTTAGCAGTTGAGTGCGTTAACTAACCATTGCACCAGGTGACAGTTATTGGCTAAACTGACCTGTGCTATGTGATAAGTGATGTTGATGAATTGCTTATCTGCTTCTGGAAACGTATTTGCATTGTATTGAAGCCCACTCAGGCAGTGGTCCTCACAGTGGGTGTGCACATATCTGAGAGTGTGCAAGACCATTTATAAGGTTATTGGTAGAAAATATACTAACTTTTATTTGTATTATTTTTATTGAGCAAAACTAAGAAATTAAGCTTTTCTAATATTTAATGTTTTAGTTGGGAAAAGTACATGTAGATAACATTACAAATCTAATTTGACATTGATAATGAGTATTAAATATTTTTATGGATGGGGTTTGCCATCATAAAAATTTGAAGACAACTGCTCTAGAGGCACACTGACATCCCCAAAGAATAACTCTTCATGCTTTCTGGTACTATTATGACTAACCTATGTCCAGTGTTTCCTGTATGCCAGGCACTGTTCTATACCCTTTACAGGTATTAATACACTTACTCCTCACAGCCACAAAACTGGTATGATTATTAGTATCCTCATTGTAAGGATGAAAAAATTGAGCCTGGAGAAACATGTAACTTGTTCAATGACAGAGCTAGTACATGGCTGAATCAGTATAGAACTAATGTGGTTTGGTTTCAGTGGCCACTCTCTTAACCCCTGCTTTGAACTGTGCCATGCTCTGGTGCCTGTCTGCTTCCATGTGATAAACCCACGTGGACTTCAGGAGGAGAGGGACCATGTCTTATTCATTGTGATACCCTTAATAAATATATTTTTTAAAAATTTATTTTATTTTGTTGTTGTTATTATTGAGAATATACATAGTAGAACATACACCAATTCAGTAATTTCTACATGTACAAAATTCAGTGACATTGATTATATTCTTCAAGTTGTGCAACCATTCTCACCCCCCTTTGCTGAATTATTCCTCCCCCATTAACAAACTTACTGCCCCTTAACTTTCCTGTCTAATCTTTTGGGTTGCTGTTGTCAATTTGATCCCTTATAGATAGTTCTTAACAGAGCACAGTGCTCAAGGCAGACATTCTTTACTCATAAAGCTAAATTGTTGTTTGGTTTAAAGAAGACTTAAGGGGATATTTTTGATTAAGGTTTAAAGATTATCTCAGGACAGTAGTTTTGGGGGTTCACCTAGCCTCTATGGCTCCAGAAACTCTGTATTCCAGGAGAATCCCTTAATAGATATTTCTTAAATGAACAAAGGGCTTATCACTACCTCTGAATTCATATCACTTAGATGGAAACTTTGGATAAATATTTGTTTATTTTTAGCGTGTAGCCATTTTTCTCTTTGAAATAAATGGATCTGATGAGAAATCGCCATGAGTTAAATTAGCGGTCCTATGTTTAGAAATTTTACATGAAAAAGAGTCTGCATTACCCTGATACTCATCAGTCACTTCTGAGTCCCAGTCCACCCCTGACATGACTAATGCTTTCCTTTTCTTCCTTTATCATGAGGGTATGAGAACACAAGAAATAAATCTCAGGGCTCCTCTGTCCACTGTCTGCAGTGTATAACCTCAAATCAGCAACAACAGCAACAGCAACAAAGACAACAAAAATGATTAAAAAAAAAAAAAAAAGGAGGAAGAGAAGCAGAACTTACTGAGTTTTTTTGGGTTCGCCAACTGATCTCTTTTTAAGCCCGGCACAGATTTCTTTAATTCTATGATGCACGGATATGTAATCTCTTGGGTGTTCTGGGCCTTACTAAAATTATTTTCGTTTGACCAAATAAGTTTGTAAGTTCATTTACATCTAAAGAGTATTAACAGAGTCTTGCAAGTTTTGTATTATACCATTATATTAAAATTATGACAATTCTATTTCCCCTGTTTTCCTTTTAGGCTCTTTCAAGACACTTGTTCTTCCATCAGTAAGTATCTGTTTTAAAAAATTTGTTTCAGAAATATAAATTACCTCAATGAACTAAATAAATTAATGTTATATTGGCTTTCATGTCAATTTACATTTCTTCTGAGTCTGGCTTGAGTTTAGTTCAGCCTTCAGATTAAACTTCAGGTAGATTTGTTATTGTTAGTTGCTGTCAAGTGGATTCTGAGTCATGGTGACCCCATGTGTACAGAGTAGAACTGCTCTGTAGGGTTTTCAAGGCTGTGACCTTTCAGAAGCAGATTGGTAGGCTTGATTTCCAAGGTGCCTCTGGGTAGGTTCAAACTCTCAACCTTTCTGGCTAGTAGTCAAGCACTTAACCATTTGCACCACCCAGGTTCTTCAGACTCATAGCAGGGGTTTTCCCACTGTAGAATAGAGAACTTCATTGAGGGAAACTGACATGGACTATTAGCACGGAAACCCGGGCTGGTCCCGCTTCTGCCTTAATCAGCCTTACGGTCTTGAGCATGTAATTAATACTCAGTTGCTCAGTTTCTTTGTCCTTGAAGAGGGCAGTGTCATGCTGAGCCACTTGAAGCCTGAGGTAAAAGACAACATTGGTAATACTGATCCTGTCTTTATAGAAAAATTTGATATTTTGTTTATAATTAATTTTATGCGTTAATTTTGATATGTTAAAATATTATATTAAAACATCATTTATCTTGATTACTGAATTTTTTGGCAGCTCCCCTTAAATTTGCACCTTAGGCAGGTGTTTCGCTCACCTCACCCTAGTCCTGGCCCTTGAAAAGGGGATAAACATACCATCACTATTTCTTAGGGATACACTGGAGGTGAAATGAGATGTGAAAGTACCGTAAAATTTGCTATAGAAGTGGAAAGGGGTTATTTTGTTGAGAGTCAGAAAACTTGATTATTAAACATTGCGTGTGAACTAATCCTACTTCCCACTTTGATTTAGAAGTCTGTACTGTTATCACTCTGTTTTGTTTTGAGGCTGTGAAAATTTAGTGTATAATAGACTAGACCATAGCATCCACCCAGAGGTGCAATTTGATGATGTACTTTTATGAGAATAGATGACTAATTACTTTGGCCCTGACACATTATATACTTAAGTAGAATCAGCATTACCTGTTAAGCCTGGTTTGCTCATCACCTCTTGAAGGTTACTTGTCAAGCACATTCAGAAATCACATTCATTTGGGGGAATTCCTAGAGAATATACTGCTCTCAAATAGTACTTTATAAAAACTACTTCTATTCCATAACTGTATCTTTCTTACCTATTATGTTTATACTTTCCTTACTGAGAAATACACTGTTGCTACCAATAGAAAATGGGAATTAAAAAAAAGGTATAAGCAGGGAAAAGTAGGGGAAAAAACCCTAACCTTAGTGATTGACGATAGAACATTAGATGCTGGCCAACAGTGCCTGCATGCATAACTCTGTTAAAAGAGTATTTCAATAGTAAGTTTTCAAAAAGTCCTGTGTAGTATAATTGCCCTATAGCAGAAGCAGGGTGCAATTTAAGTTCATGAATCATAGCTTAGAGCACAATTTAGAGCACTGTCTGGACTCAAGGAGTCTGCAATCACATAGGCCACAAGTGTGTAAAGGCTGAAAGGAGAAAGCATGTGGGCAGGACAAGGGCCCCAGGCTTATAGCATTTGTCCTATCATTAGCTAGAAATTTGGCTGTTACAATTCTTTTAAGTCTTAAGTGTAAGAAATGATAACTTCAACATCCTATGTTGGTCTTTGATAACGTGCTTTTTTCTATTGTATGTTATTGTTAGGTGCTGTTGAGACAAATAGAGCAGTTATTCATTGAACGCATTACTAGAGATTATATTTAGGGGTATAAGCCTTTTTAGAAAAACAACTTTTGAAAGACTGGGACAAGCTTGATTATGCTTGGCAGAAATAGAAGGTTCTGCATGTTTATGAGTTTTCAATTAAAATAGACGCAACTTTCAGAGTGCACTTGCATTCTGATTTTTATAAATCTAATAGTTTAAATTATTTTTTAAGATGCTAGTGGATTTTTGCTGTAAAATGTGAATATTTTAAGGTTGCATAAAAAATGAGTTTTTAATATCTGGTTTATACACTGTTTCCACTTTTGATACACTAAAATCAGCCTTCAATAACAAACGTATGATTGATATGTAATATATATTGTATTTTTGTACAAAATATGCTAGAAAAATTTTATTTTATTCTCCTAATAAATAAATATAACTTAAAATGAGAGTTTTTTAAAACAATTTCTACACATACCATTTATTTTATTTTAAATTTCTTTATTGTACTTTAGATGAAGGTTTATAGAGCAAATAGCTTCTCATCAAACAGTACACATATTGTTTTATAACAGTGGTTAACAACCCCACAACATGTCAACACTGTCCCGTCTCAACCTTGGGTTCGCTATTACCAGCTTTCCTGTCTCCTCCTGCCTTCTAGTCCTGGTCCCTGGACTGTTGTGCCCCATTAGTCTCGTTTTTCTAAACATACCATTTAGTGACATTGATTACATTTTTCGAGTTGTGCAACCATTCTCACCCTCCTTTTCTGAGTTGTTTCTCCTCCATTAACATAAATTTACTGCCCCCTCCTAAGGTTCCTATCTAATTTTTTGAGTTGACATTATCTGTTTGATCCCATGTAAGTAGTTCTTAAAAGAGCATAAGGCTTAAAGCAGACTTTTATTTTTTTTACTAGTTAAGCTAAACTATTGTTTGGTTTTAAGAAGACTGCAGGGGGTATTTTTGGTTTAAAGTTTAAAGATTATTTCAGGGCAGTAGTTTCAGGGTTTCATTCAGCCTTCATGGATCCAAGAAGTCTGGAGTCCATGAGACTTTTAAATTCTGTTCTACATTTTCCCCCTTTTGATCAGGATTCTTCTATGGAATCTTTGATCAAAATGTTCAGTAATGGTAGCCAGGCACCATCCAGTTCTTCTGGTCTCATGACAAAAGAGGCAGTTGTTCATGGAGGCAATTAGTTACACATTCCATATCCTCCTATTCCTGACTCTCCTTCTTCTGTTGCTCCAGGTGAACAGAGACCAATTGTTGTCCCTTGGATGGCCACTTGCAAGCTTTTAAAACCCCAGGCACTACGCATCAAATTAGGTGGCAGAACAGAAGCACTAAACATGTTATTAGGCCAGTTAACTGGGTTGTCCCATGAAACCATGACCTTAAACATCCAAACCAAGAAACCAAATCCAGTGAGGTTTTTGTTTGTACATAAACAGCCTCAGTAATTATGCTTTGTTGTTGTGGGTGGAAATATATCTATCACACAACTTTTGCCAATTCAGCTTTTTACAGATGTGCAACTTATTGACAATAATTACAATAATCAGCTGTGCAATATCAATGTGATATTTCCATCACTGTTAACCCCGACTTTCACCCTCCCTCCTGTCACTGGTAGCCACTAATAAACTTTCTTGTCTATACATTCGCCTTTTCTTGTCTTTTTATATAAGTGAGGTTATATAATATTTATTCTTTTGTGATTGACTTATTTCACTCAGCATAATGTCTTCCAGCTCCATCCATATTGTAGCACGTATCAAGACTTCATTTCTTCTACTAGCTGAGTAGCATTCCATTGTATGTATGTACCACATTTTGTTTATCTGTTCACCTGTTGGTGGGCATTTAGGTTGTTTTCACCTTTCGTCTATTGTGAATGGTGCTGTAATGAACATTGCTGTACAAGTCTCTGTTTGAGTCTCTGCTTTCAAGTTTTTGGGTATATACCTAGGAGTGGAATTGCTGGGTCATAGTATTTCTATTTTTAGTTTTTTGAGGAACCACTACACTGTTTTCCACAATAGCTGTATCATTTTGCATTCCCACCAGCGATGGGTAGGGGTTCCAATTTCCCCACATCCTCACCAACATTTATTTTCCTTTTTTTTTTTTTTTTTAATCTTAGCCATCTTACCAAACCAAATCCATTGCTGTCGAGTCTATTCTGACTCATAGTGACACTACAGGACAGAGTAGAACTGCCCCATAGAGTTTCCAAGGAGCACATGGTGGATTTGAACTGCCAGTCCTTTGGTTAGCAGCTGTAGCACTTAACCACTACACCCCTAGGGTTTCCAAGCCATCCTAGTGGGAGTGAAATGGTATTTCATTGTGGTTTTGATTTGCATCTCTCTGTTGGCTAGTGATGCCAAACATCTTTTCATGTGTTTGGTGGCCTTTGAAGGTCCTCTTTGGTGAAATGTCTCTTCAAGTCCTTTCCCCATTTTATGATTGGCTTATATGTCTTTTTGTTGTTAAATTGTTGAAGTTTTATCGATATTTTGGTTATTAGATTCTTGTCAGATATGTGGTTTCCGAAGATATTCTCCCATTCAGTAGCTTGTCTTTTCACTTTTTTGGTAAAGTCTTTTGATGAACAAAAGTTTTAAATTTTTATAAGGTCCCATTTATTTATCTTGTTTTTTGCTATTTGTGCATTTATTGTTATATTTGATAATCCGTTGTTAAAAGCTAGACCTGGCAGCATTGCCCCTGCCTTTTCTTCTAAGAATTTTATCATTTTAGTTTGCACGAGTGTGATTTTATTGAATCAAAAATACTTTTGAAGTTTAAGTACAATTTTGAACATATCTTTAATAGAGACCATTGTCTTAAATTTCTGAAGTTTATTTTGAAATTTTGTCTTCATTATTTTTAGTAAATGGAATTATTAACCAAGTAAATTAGGATAAATACTACTGTATTGACTTAGTTTCTTTAAGGCAATTAATCTTTCAGAAAAGGCGAAATGAGTTTAGACAGCCCAGTTAGAATAAGTAATCCATTTATTGTCCACCAGGGACATTTTAGAGCATGCCTTCCTCATGTACTGTAGACAGAGAACTCTCACCTATATTTATCTTTATGTATACATAGAATAGACTTTTAGCATAACCGAGAAACGATGCAAAACTCAGAGGTTGGTTGATATTTCATTGATCAAAGCCCCTTGATACTGTTGACTCTCGGACTCTTGTCCTGCTGCCAGTCAGTCTCCAGCTGTGGGAACTTCACCTTTCTCCAGCAAGTTACTAAGTCACCTTTTGAACAGAGGAGGGTCAGAGAATTTGTGGACGTATTTTAAAACCACCACATCAGGACTTTTATTAGAACAATATAGTAGGTCTTGCGTTTGAATCTCAGCTAGTGACCTGGGGCAACTCCATTAACTCCTCTAAGCCCATGCTTCCTTATCTGTAAATTGGTGTTAGTAAGAGCACCCACCTGAAGGGTAAAATGATATAGCACATGTAAACTTCTAGTCCTTTTAATAGGTTTCTAGTCCTATTAATGGTAGAAGGTAGGAATTCTATTGTTAATAGCAGTAGTATAAGTAGCAGCACCGTCCTTACCAAAACTATGACACAGGCTAAGTGAGTTGCAAGAAGAGAGAGCATCTTAGTGAGAAAAGAGCTTGAGAAAATATAGGAAGAAAACAAATCCTGTGGAAATGTGCCTTTCACCGATCGCCTCAAATAAGCTGAGGCATGGAAAAGAAGTATTTATTTATATACTGACCCACAGTAACTGTTAGTGAGGAAGAATTTGCACTTGAAATAAGAAATGGCAATGTAACTGCTGCTGAGAGAGCGCTGTGGGGTGTGTGTCCTGTGTTCCAGGAACGTTGAGATTTAATGGGAGAGCAAACTACGGTATGTTAAACAAGAAAAAACCAATTGTTAAACTTTGGAATTACCTAGGAGTAGCAAAATTTTCAACATTGTAATTACTTTTGATAATACTCTGTATTCAGGTTTTCTATTCTAACTTATAACTAAAACATTTTTGAGGTAAAGTAATGAGACTTTGATATGTCTGATCTTTTTTCCCCCCAGCTACCTCTGAACAGTGCAAATGAGATTTACGAGCTACGTGTAACGGGTCGTGCCGAGGATGAGATTTTATTCTCTAATAGCACACTCCTGTCATTTGAGACCAAGAGAATGTCTGTCTTCATTCAAACAGACAAGCCCCTATACAAGCCAAAGCAAGAAGTGAAGTTTCGTATTATTACACTATTCTCAGATTTCAAGCCTTACAAAACTTCTTTAAGCATTGTAATTAAGGTAAGTTCTGGATGGAAACAAAGCAAGGAGTTCAAGCTATGTTACTGGAGCTCTCGTGGAAGCTCGCTTATATTATTGACACTGGAATATCTTAGAACTCACCTAAACTAAGCTTCCCTCCCCACATGGGAATCCTCTCTAGGAAGGGAGGAGGTAGAGTATGGTAGAAAGGAGCTTGGGCTCCAAAGTTGGCTTGCTTGCATTCCAGTCCTGAAGTCTTCATTGAGTTATTCATTTGCCGAATGTTTACTGAATTTCTATGGTCCAGACACTGGGGATGGGGCAGTGAACAGAACAGATTAAGTCCCTGCTCACATCAAGCTTTTATTTCTGTGAGTAGGGGGAGACAGACAATAAATAAACACACACACTATATATATATAAAAGTGAGATAAAAGTACAGATGTGTATATATTTGTGTGTGTGTGAGAGTTTGCGCTTGCTTTTTTCTTTTTTTTTTTTACACAGAACAAGAAATTTTATTATCTTGAATGCTAGTGTATAACAAATAACAAACTTAATTAGAGAAGGAGACGGAAACTTCAGAGACTGAAGAGGATTTCTGGGCAGGTTTAAACTTTTAAAAGGTTGATAGCATAATTGTTCATAGTCTCTTTTAGATGTACAGCTTTCCTTTTACACAACAATTTTCACTAACCATTCTTATAACAACTTTAATTATTATCATAGTTCTTAGAACTTTAGTTCAGCTGAACTCTTTTGCCTGTCAAATTAAGTGAAAAACAGAGAAGGAGCAAAACAAATTTTTCCTACTGTATAAGGGTGTTAGAAATTGTTTTCTTTGTACTTTCACATACATAAAAATGTCTAAAATTTTTAATTAAGGAGGTCTTAATTTTTGACTTTTTGAAATGGTCATGACATGAATTTTCTTGAATTATAGATCGTAGTAGCTTTCTAAATGATCAAGATACATATAAAAACAAAATATAAGAGACTCTTGAAAACACATTTAAAGATATAGTGCATGTGACATAGGCTTCTTTTGGGGTTTGTTCATCCTTTTAGGATACTGAAGAAAACTCTATGTTACACTAACAATTTAGCCTTTGATAACTATGACTTGAATAGATAACAAAGTTGAATTTTTCTAAGTTTTCTAAATAGGTTTCCAGTCCAAATAATTCAAAGACATATTGTGTCCTAAGTTGGGTATTTTGGTTATTTTTTCTCATCATATAGTTAATATCAGTGGGCTGTTTTACGGGTAGTTTGTCATGGTCATGCCTTGTTCTTGCAAAACCATCCCTCTCAGTGATGTGGATATGAAAGATATTTTCCCCAATGCAAGGAAAATAATCTGGATCAATAACAAAGTGAAAGGCAGGGGTGTTTCAGGACATTCTTGAAAACAGATTCCAACAGTCCTAAGATTCTTTTTCTTTCTTAACGATTCTCTTCCTTTTTCACAACTGTGCAGTTATTGTCCTATTCTATTCTGAAAAACATACAATTTTTTTTGAAGATCAAGTTTTTCATTGCCACAAAACTATTTTGAGTGAACCCCAAAATAATGGAATTTTGGGTCTCTCCTTAAGTAGTCTCCTCCTCTCTTAACAGCATTTACCTGCACTCTATCAATAATCTCATCACAGTCGAGTTCTTCGGTCAGACGATTGACAACCGTAAATGAAAAAAGCTCCGTTATAAAAGCTAACTGATCAAATGGGGTTTTCTCATAATGCATCTGAAACCCGCCATCTTGAACTGGTTCTCTTGCTCTGGATGTTCTCAGAAACATCTTGTTGGCTTCTTCAAGGGCTGCACCACCAAGCTGCTCCTCTTCCAGGTAGTCGTAGTCATCCTCCCAGCCATCTAATTCCTTGCCCTTGTCCTTGCTTTCAAAGTCTGGGACTGCATCCTGGCTTGGATGCTCCCACTGCTGGGCCCATTATCAAGGCCTCCTGCCCTCCGCCATTGGCTTGACCTCCTCCTTCATTGCTCCTTCCTCCTTGAGCTGTGGCAGGGGTCCCCACTGTGGGAGGGGCGCGGGGATAGCTCCCCGTTTCCACTGCCTACCTCCTTCTGCAGAAGGTCATTCTTGCCAGGCATCACATCCATTTGCAGGTCATTGCTCTCGTCATACAGTTTGGACAGCTCGGACATTTTGGATACGGTTCAAGCTTCTCAAATGCTTGCAAAGCATTTTCAGCAAGATCAGAAATACCTGTGCTTGCTGTTTTCTATAGAGTTGTCAGGGAAGACTTATTTGAGCAGAGACCTAAACGAAATAAAAGAATGAGACCATACAAACAGAGGGAACAGCATGTGCAAAGGCTCTAAGGTGGGAGCTTGTTTGGTGCATTGAAGAACAACAAGCTGGCCAGTTCCCTTGAAGCCCAGGGATTGAGGGAACAAATATTAGAAGCTCAGGGATGTGGTCTGAGGGGCAGTCTATACAGGGCCTTGTAAACCATGATAAGGACTTTGGATTTTACTCTGAGTGAAATGAGAAGTCATTGGAGAATTCTGAGGAGAGGCATGACATGATCTGACTTAACATTTTTAAAAGAATCACTCTGTGTGCTCCGAAAAGAATAGATTCTAGCTGTGTGATCTCAGGAAAATTAATCTCCCTGAGCCTCATTTTCCTTACCTATGAACATGTTAATAATAATCCTCACAAAAACTATGTGAGGATTAAGTGAGATGATTTAAGTAGAGCACTTAGAACCGTGCCTGACACATAGTACATGCTCATTAATCATTAGCTACTACTATTAGTAGTATAGGAAGCGCTTTTGTCAGGTGGCCATTTGGCCTGTGCTGCTTCAATACTCCTATGATCTGGAGGCAGCATGGTTAGCAGGCTAAGTGCTTTCTTTTGAGAATCAAGTTGAAGACAACTGGGATCTATCTGGGCCTGGTTTTCTGCAGTTAAACTGAGGACAGTTCTAGATGTGGGTGACCGACTCATCCCAGTTTGCCTGAGATTCTTCTGGTTTTAAAACTGAAAGTCCCAGTTTCTAGTAAACCCCCTGGTCCCAAGATGGTTGGTACTATAAATGTTCTGATGAATAATATAGTACGGAAAGTGAATTCAAGCTGTTTAGTTCAGTATCTTTCTATGATTTTTAGATTCTTTGTTGTTATAAATTAAAAAGAAAACCAAACAAGTAAGCATGTACACATATAACCTTAAACAAACGTGTTTGTAGCAAACACCACGTTGTTTATTTAGCATGGCGCTCAATGTGTATTTCTTCAATTGAACTAGTATTATTTCAAAGTTTGCAGCTCTGTGATTTTCTGCTTTTGCTATGCATTGAGATGTTTATAGAGCAGCTGACATAGTGAATAGAATTTCTAAATACATGATGTTCTCTGAGCAGAGTTGAAGTGACTCCATTCATGTTATCCTTCATCCTTTACCCACATACTCTGAACAGTTACTATATGCTACAAACTGTGCATAAAACAGAGGATTTAGAAGTAAACATCTGCCAGTCTCTGGCCTTTTATGTTCAATCTGCCTCCTTCTGCCTCAGGCAAATAAGAATCTCCAAAGGATAAATTGCCTGTTCCAGGCATTAACCCAGAACTAACCTTGCTGAGGAGACTGAGTGACGCTGTGGTTAAGATCTCGATTGCTAACCAAAAGGCCGGCAGTTTGAATCCACCAGCTGCTCCTTTGAAACTACCGGGCAGTTCTACTCTGTCCTGTAGGATCGCTATGAATTGGAATCAACTCAACAGCAATGGGTTTTTTGGAACCCTGCTGACTCTGGATAGCTGGTCTGTGTATTCTTTAGTTTTGCCTTTCTATTCTACTCTAGTATCTGTCTTTGAAACCTTTGATTTGTAGATTCTTTGGGAAACCCTGGTGGCGTAGTTGTTAAGAGCTATGGTTGCTAACCAAAAGGTAGGCGGTTAGAATTCACAAGGCGCTCCTTGGAAACTCTATGGCGCAGTTCGACTCTGTCCAATAGGGTTACTATGAGTCACAATTGACTTGAACGCAGTCAGTTGGCTTGGTTTTCTCCAGCTTTGGACTTTGTTTGCCACAATCAGTCTTCCCTGAAGTGCTCAGAGAGACCTTTATCTTGGCCAGGGGAGGAGAGTTGAGATTTTCCACAGGAACGCTGAGTGTTTGGGAACAAGGAATGTGGGGTAGCAATGTTCGGCTCTCTCACTTAGGCAGTGAGACTTGAATATGAACTCGGGTCTACAGCTAAGTCCTTCCCTCCATGTAACTTGCAGAGGCCAGGTTGCAGCACTGATGCACGTGCCTCATGTCTGATACGCTTCCATCTGAAAATAGTTCACTAGACTTTGATGTTTTCTACATCTTTTAGTGTGGAATAATAGATTTATTGCAAAACTTCACAGAAAAAAGTGAAACTTAGCCTAAATAGCACCCCTGACTGGGACAAAGTTGTACACCCAAGTGCGGCACCACCTGCAGGCTAATGTGAAGAAATGCATCTGAGAGCTAGGACGCCAACTTTTTGGTACCATCCTGTCCAGGCAATAATGTCTGTCAGATGTAGCTAAGCTGTTGACCATTCTATTCAGGGATGTTCATTGTTTCTTGAGGATATCATTGGGTATTATTCATTTTGGGTGTCCCAATAACTGACCTCAGGAAATAAGGGGGTTTCCGAGGCCTTCCAGCAGTGGAAAACATGGCCTGCCTCTGCTCTAATTCTGGCCTTTTCCAGCCAATCTGGTCAAACACTATGGAAATAAGTGCCTCTGACATTGTGATGGTAGCCAGCATGACTGGCTTCTACCTTGACCTGTCTTATTTAAGAAATTGCTCCTGGTAGAGATGAGCAACCTTGTGTGGGAGCAGGGTGTTTGTTATTGGCCTGGGGTTATAACCTGTGATTGTGTCCTAACCATTCTGGCTGGGAGTGGCAAAGGCTAACCCAGAACCTTAACCCTGGCCAGGTGAGGGAGCCACCTTATTTAAGTGATCTGACTTCTTCGAATCCACTTACAGAGCAGACACCTTGCACAAAATCCATGACTTCAGAGAGTGGCAGAAATACTTCTTGCAGACAGTCTTGTAGCCAGGGAATTTACTGCTTAAGAAAGTCTGGCACAGGTAGCAGGCCCTGTGCTGTGTTGAAGCACCTGAGAGAGATCCAGAGCCATCCAGAAGTGATTCAAGGGGCAGGAGGGGCCACTATTCCAGCATCTTCTGCATGCCACTGTTGCGGCTGTGACAGGAGGCATCATTCACATTGTATGTATCTGTCCTATGTGCATCCCAGCAAGAGATGACCACATGCAAATGCTGGGCTCTGCTGTGATGCTGCATGGCCCATTCAAATCCTGAGCATGCTTGTAAAGATTTCTGGTGTTTCTGCATACTGTGTCTTTCTTACTGGTGGTGGTTAGGCCTCGGTCCAAGACAGGCTTGGGAAACCAGAAGGATTATTTCAACCCTCCAGATCCCCCAAGTGCAAAGTCATCAAAGATTTCATTTGATGACTTCCTTCATTCTTAGCGACATGCTACCATCTGTGACAAATGTACACGACAATAATACAGCAGGAGAATGTGAACACTTTCCCTACACTTTAGGTAACACCAGTAATTGTTATTATTATTTTTTTAAATCTTGGTCGTTCTAACAGAAGAAAAATGATGTATCATTGTTTTAATTTGCATTTCCTTAATTTCTAGATAGACTGAACATTTTATATGTTTATTAGCTATTTGTATTTCTTTCTTTGTTCCCAAGCCTCTAAACTCCACAGTCCTCCCATGCTTCCTGCTGTGGCAGGCACAGCAGCGCCAACTGCTGGTTACCATGCCTGTCTGTCTTGGTTACCTAGTGCTGCTGTAACAGAAATACCACTAGTGGATGGCTTTAATGAAGAGAAATTTATTTTCTCACAGTCTAGTAGGCTACAAGTCCAAATTCAGGGCACGAGCTCCAGGAGAAGGCTTTCTCTCTCTCTCAACTCTGGAGGAAGGTCCTTGTGATGCATCAGTCTTCCCTTGGTCTGGGAGCATCTCAGTGCAGGAACCTCAGGTCCAGAGGATGTGCTCTGCCCCCAGAACTGCTTTCTTGGTGGTATGAGGTTCCTATGTCTCTCTACTTGCTTCTCTCTTTTATGTCTCAAAAGAGATTGGCTTAAGACACTATCTAATCTTATAGACCTCATCAATATAACTGCCTCTAATCCATCTTATTACATCATAATGATAGCATTTACAACACACAGGGAAATCACATCAGATGATAAAATGGTAGACAATTGTACAGTACTGGGAATTGTGACCTAGCCAAGGTAACAGATATTTTTTGGGGACACAATTCTATCCATGACACTGTCCTAGGAGTTTGCCAGCAGTGACCTCCTTATTTTTGACTTGGTGATAGTCTTTGATTTTAACAGTTAGTTTCTGGCTTTCTAGACTACTCCCTACTCAGTTCTCAGCATTGTGCTCATCCCTAACTTTCACTTTCTCCCCTACATCGGGAGGGAGGTTTCTCCTGGCTTCTATTAACTGAGCCAACTCACTACCTCTGGCCAAAAATGGAGAATAAGAACAAGGGAAAGTATTCAATCTCTGATCTCAGGAGTTCACATAGTAGTGGCAATAAAGACCACATAACCAATGAATGTCTTAAACAGTTGTAGTTACCAAGAGAGGCAAGCTCCAGGTATACTAGGGGCTCTCCAGAGGCTGGTCATCTCTGCCTGTTGAAGACATGTACAGAAGCCAAGAAGCTGGAGCTTAGTTCACTGGTTGGACAAGGAAAGAAGAGTATTTCATGCAGCAATTACAGATGCATGGTTTTTTTTTTGGGTGAACTGCAGACAAATCTGTATGTTTGGAGAATGATGAGCCTAGAAATGTAGATGGAGTCAGATTACTAAGGACCTTGTAAACCATAAAAAGGAGTGTAGACTTTATTCTGTAGGCAAACAAAAGCTAGCATTATCTAGTGATCTTGTATAATGATCATAGCCAATGTTTATTCACTGCTTATTATATAACAGGAACTGTGCCAAGTATTTTAAATACTTTACCTCATACACAGCTTTGTGTTTTAGATGGATAACACTGTTTGCAGTGGGGAAGTTGTATCATAGGGGGCAAGACTGGAGGAGAGAGATTAATTGCAATAGTTCAAAAAGAGGATGGTAGCGGTGAGGATGGAAATGAGACCAATTGGAGAGATATTAAAGAGAGAGTTGACAGGGCCAGAATGTGAGAGAGGAATGTGGGATGACTGCTGGTTTGGCTTAGATGACCATTGCATGAAGGGGTCATTGTCTGGGAGACTATAGGAAGACTGAAATATTTTTCTTGTACCGCCTTGGTTAAACATCTCTCCGATATACGTTTGTTGAGTTAAAAGACAGATATAGGTTTGCATTCTGAATTTTATCACGTATTGGTACTGTAATGTTGGGCAGTGTCAGTCACTTACGGTTACTGAGCGCTTACCTAAAACCTCTCCAGGCCTCAGTTTTCTCAGCTACAAAAGGAGGATAATCCTACCCTGAAGGAGAATTGTAGTGACTCACGATAATGCAGAATGCCCAGCACATAGTGGCCTTTAATGAATGGGCAGAGTGCCCAGCACATAGTGGCCTTTAATGAATGGGGCAGAGTGCCCAGCACACAGTGGCCTTTAATGAATGGGGCCTATTACCATTACAGTGGAATTTTCTTCTCAAAACAGCAACACAGGTTTAGTGATGTACCTGTTCTAGTGTTTCACGTAGCAGGAAATATGGTGCCAGGAATTATAAGGTGGAGCAGAATCAAGATGTTGCTGAGAGAAATATGAGAAAATAAGAAATTTTGATTTGTCTTCATTGGCAGTATAGTCCCGACATCTTCCAAAAACTATCTTTGTGCCATATTTTGGGGGAAGTTCTAGACATGCCTGGGGGTGCTTCAAGGCATCAGTCATAACTAGATAGGATACATATATACATGGGCAACCTTTATATAATTAATGTGTATGGTTTTCATTTTAGGACCCCAAATCAAATATGATCCAACAGTGGCTGTCAGAACAGAATAATCTTGGAGTTGTTTCCAAAACTTTTCAGTTATCTTCACATCCAATACTTGGTGACTGGTCCATTCAAGTTCAAGTGAATGTGAGTACCAATATTTTTTTTTGGTAATGCTAAAATGATTTCAGTAATTCAAGTGGGGAAATATCTACAGTTATCTATTCAATGAACAGAAAAAAATTAATAAAATATGAACATCTAGATAATTTAAGTGCTTTATTTTTAATTTACTGTAGATTTAGCCTTCATTATAACAAAGTTTTAATCATTGTCTTTTTCTATAATATAATGTTTGAAGGTTAATCTGTTTTGACATTTTAGTATAAAATTAAATGTTTTAAAAAGTGTATTGCATGCATTGAGTATTTTAAAACTAAGTAATGAATATACAGCTATTCTTTGGCAAATTTTATGTCTCAGAATGACTCTTGATGAGTAATTGGACTAACATACTTTGTCTTTGCTTTAATAAACAGTGACTTTGAATAGCCACATCAGCCTTCCGTTTCTCAATCTTTCTCTCTCTGACTCCCCTGCCTACTTCCTTTATTTGCTGCCAACTCATGTAACTCTGAGATCTAATAGAGAAAGGACAGTGAAATGCTGTATTTCTCTTTGTGCCTCAGGTTTTCTCCTGTGCATCTCATTTTCTTTGTAATTTATTAAGATGAGTATAATTCACAAATAAGAGCTTTAAAAGAGAATTCTATTAGAACAGGACTTCTTACTATCAATGTTTTTTTTTTTTAATTGTGATTTAGATGAAGGTTTACAGAGCAAATTAGTTTCTCAGTAAACAGTTAATACACATATTGTTTTTTGACATTGCTTGCCAACCCCACAATGTGTCAACACTCTCCCCGTCTTGACTTTAGGTTCCCTGTTACCAGCTTTCTTGTCCCCTCCTACCTTCTTGTCCTTGCCCCTGAGCTTATGTGCCTGTTTAGTCTTGTTTTGTTTTATGGACCTGTCTAATCTTTGGCTGACGGGTGAACCTCAGGAGTGACTTCAGTACTGAGTTAAGAGGGTTCTGGGGGCCATACTCTCGGGGTTCCTCTAGTGTCTGTCAGACCAGTAAGTCTGGTCTTTTTTTGTGAGTTAGAGTTTTGTTCTACGTTTTTCTCCAACTCTGTCCGCGACCCTCTATTGTGATCCCTGTCGGAGCAGTCAGTGGTGGTGGCTGGGCACCATCTAGTTGTGCTGAACTCAGTCTGGTGGAGGCTGTGGTAGTTGTGGCCTATTACTCCTTTGGACTAATCTTTCCCTTGTGTCTTTGGTTTTCTTCATTCTCCCTTGCTGCAGATGGGGTGTGACCAGTGGAGTAACTTAGATGGCCGCTCACAAGCTTTTAAGACCCCAGACCCTACTCACCAAAGTAGGATGTAGAATATTTTCTTTACAAACTATGTTATGACAGTTGAGCTAGATATGCCCTGAGATATGCCCTCAGCCCAGTATTTCGGTCCCTCAGGGACTTTGGATGTGTCTGTGAAGCTTCCATGACCTTGCCTTGGTCAAGTTGTGCTGACTTCCCCAGTAATGTGTACTGTCTTACCCTTCACCAAAGTTACCACTTATCTGTTGTCATTATCAATGTTTTGGACTAGATGATTATTTGTTGTGGAGGGCTGTCCTGTGCATTGTAGGATATTTAGCAACATCTTTGGCCTCTACCCACTGAGTGCAGTAGCGTCCACCCCTCTACCCTAATTGTGACAACCAAAAATGTCTCCAGATATTACCAAGTATCCTCTGGGGGGAAATACCTCACTCTCCTTGGTTGAGAACCACTGTATTAGAAGGAAAAATCATTTGTTAGCATAAGACCCCAGATAAGGTAAAAGTATTGATATTTGACCTGTTTTTTTACTTGCAACAGTCCTGAAAAATAGGTGTTTTATACTTAATTTCTAGATGAGAGTAGGGAGGGAAGTTTTAGCTGGGTGTCAGGCTCTGAGAGATTAATTGTTTAATGTGGGGTGAACAGAATAAGTACTAGAGGAGAGAGGGTGATGGAATAGTTGAAAAAGACTTTGTGGAAGATGTGATATTGGATTTTGAAAGATTTATGGAATTTCTCATGTAGTGATTTGTGAAGTTGACCAGTCTCATATTGCTTTAATAGGGGGAAAAAAAAAGGATACTACTTTTAAGAAAATTTAGGTGCTTAAAATGTGAAAAACTTTCACAAGATGTGGCCCTTGTCCACCTCTTCAGCCTTGTCAAGTACTGCTCTCGCCCTTGAACTCTGTGCTTTGGACACATCCTTTCAGTTTCTCAGACTTACCGCTCATATTCCAGAGCCTTCCTACATGCTGTCCTCTCTGCCTGGAATGCTTTTCTACCTATTGTTATTCTAGCTAATTGCTTTTTACCTTTTGGGCCTCCTCTAAAATGGCCTAATGGCGCTCTGCACCTTTCTTGTTTGTCCGCGTCACTTTTGATCACCCCAAAATACTGTAGTATTTATAATGGAGACTGCAGTGACTGTTTTGTGTTGTTTACTCATGTATCCCCAGGACATATCACCAAAAACCCATTGCTGTCGAGCTGATTCCAACTCATAGTGACACTATAGGGCGGAGTAGAACTGTCACGTAGAGTTTCCCAGGAGCAGCTGGTGGATTCAAACTGCTGACCTTTTGGTTAGCAGCCAAACACTTAACCACTGCGCCACCGGGGCTCTGGACATATGGCAGTGCTTTGCAAATAGAGCAGAAGCCAGTATTTGTTACATAAATGTATGAAAGCTATGTAATGGTCATTTGTCTGGAGCTAAATATAATTTTACCCTTTGCCACATTCTGTAAAGCATCATTATCCTTTCGAAAACAAGCATATTGACCAGTAACTTATTATTGGTGATATAAATGTTAATTTGGAGCCCTGGTGGCATAGTGGTTAAGTGCTGGGCTGCTAACCAAAAGGTGGGCAGTTCGAATCCACCAGCTTCTCCTTCGAAACCCTGTGGGGCAGTTCTACTTTGTCCTGTAAGGTTGCTATGAGTCGGAATTGACTCAAGGGCAAGGGTTTGTTTTTTGGTTTAATGTTAATTTGGGACACACATCTAAGAAAAAATAAGCCATTTCATTAAAAAAAAAAAAAGAAAACCTTCAAGGGCCACCAGGGGTCAGTATAATCAAAGAAATGCTGTAAGAGCAAACCTGGACCAGGCTAGGTCTCTAGTTTTCATCTTCCTTTGACTCCTGCACAGCATTAAAGGACCAAATATTGTTTATTATTAAACTCCTATTCTTTCAGCAGTGAAAAATGACTGTGAGGGAAATATATTTATTCTTTAAATAGTCCACCACTACAGACTGTATTTTTATTTTTTTAAGTTGGTGAGCATTCTCAGTGTAAAATTCAGGGAGGGGAAAATTTTATTTTCAGAAGAGTGTTTTGAAATCCCATTTTGTCTCTAGAAAAAATATGGAATAATCTTAGTATTACTGAAGGGCAGTGTATTTAAAAAATACAAGACTGATCAGTGCTTTGATTTGTAGTGAACCTGCAGATGATCAGGAAGTGGCATTCTTTAGTCATCCTTTGCACTAGGTCAGGGAAAGCAGTCGCTTAGATGAAACACACTGGTTGGGCTCCTTGACGTTTCTCTAACTGTAATATGTTTGTAGAATAAAAATAAACAAGTCATTTGTTATCCTTTGTGGATTACTTAAATTGCTTTTGAACTTCAGGTATTGCTTTTCACCTTCAGAATTTTTAATGATAGATTATGAGTAATTATTTTGACCTAGTAAAATTTTTATGTTTTCCTTATTTTTTTAATCTCCTTCATTGTACAGTATATGCTGGTGAGACGTAGTAAGTTCTCTCTATATTCATAGAGATACATTTTTTATAATGCTAGTTTAATTAGATTGCAGAGCAACTCTTCATGATCATTATTTTATAAAACCTGTTAAAATTAGTAAAATTTAGTAAGAATGCTGACTTTTATTTTTATTTTTTGCTACTTATGCATATACTCAGTTTGCCTGCCTTGAATGTGAGCAATTCTTTGCTGCTTTGGGGATTGCACTTCTTCTCTTGAGAAGAACCACTATCTATTCTCTCTCCCACACTTGGCCCACCGCTTTTCCATCATTTCTTTCTTAGCTTCCTGGAGTACCCAGCACCTTCTCTCCTTACAAGGAAGAGGTTTATTTTTAGGTGTGAGAGCTCGCCACAGAAGTGTGTTTCACAAGGTGGCTATACTTCACGTACATTATGGGTTAAGTGGAGCAATGCTCCTTGATTTGATAATCAACTTACAAATAAACCTTGGAAACATAACTTGTTTTTAAGTGAAACGTTGCTTCTTGTATTTTCATTTTTTACAGTACTTCTCTAGGCACTTACTTTAGGTATCTGTCTCTTGACTGGTATTAATGAGCTCTCCCAAATGGTTGCAAGTGCTTTTTGCAGCTGTGATTTTTTAAATGTATTCCAGGTTACTGGAAGGCAATTTTAGAGGTTCTTTAAAAGAAAGGGTAACGCTGGCATCTGAGAAGCAGGCTCCTGCCAACCAGGAGGGATCTGGCCACACTGGCTCTCTTCCTGCCCTCTTCACTTTGGGCAGATCATTGCCCAGAGACCCTGGCCACTGGCTGACCCAAGCACTGTTGCTCAGTTCCTTTGAGAACCCAAAGAAAATTCCGATTCACTGAGAGGCTCCTGTTCACTCGATTACTGTGGCCCTGTGCCCCCTTTCCTAAGTGTCAGATGGGAGCCTGTCTTCCCTTCCAGAGCGACTCATGCAGCTGAGTTTCCCACAAGGATCCCCTGAGACTTTGGCCTGCTAGCCCGTACCAGTGGTTCTCAAACATCAGTGTGCCTAAGAGGACCTACTGACTGGGGAGCTCGTGAAAGATGCAGAGTCCAGGCCTCGCTCCGAGAGATTGTGATTCAGTAATTCTGGCAGTGGACCTAGGGGTTTGTATTTTAAATAAACACTGTAGGAGATTCTATTTGTTTTGTGGACCACATTGTGAGACCACACTGATTTATGCCCATAGTCAGGCATCTTTAATTTCGATCTGTTCCATTGTGAGTCAGTGTTGGGTAGTGGAAAAGGCACAGGATTTAGAGAGGCCACCTGAGTTATTCTTTGAACTCCCTAGCAGTTCTTTTGAACTTCCTGGGATACTGACTTCATCTCTCTGGTGACTGTCTCATTAGAGCCTTCTGGCTCCATCCTGGACTTACTAAATCAGAGTTTTGGAGACAGTCTGTATTCTTACAACAGCTTCTCTGATGATTGAGATGCACAGCCAGTCTGGAAACCACCGAGCTAGATAACCTCTGTAGTCTCTTCTGGCTCTAATAGATTGCAGTTTCTCAGCCCTTGTCTCAGTCTTTAGTCAATGTTTGGGATTAGGGGACAAGAAATTGAATGTAGAAAACTCAAAATGCTTAAAACTTGAAATCTCTTTTTTTTGAGCCCTGTATAATATATTGTGGGTGTCAGATTATTATGTAATTTAGAAGCAATCTGCACTGAATTTTTCCTTTGTTTTATAAAAGTTACATCTACTTTCTCTTGAGTTAGTTATTCTAGAAAGTTTCGGTAAGGGTTGCCAATACCTCACTGCTTTTCATAGTCTTGCAGAACCATTATCTTTTCTTGTCTTGCTGCCCAGCTGTTTCCTGGGTCAGCTTGCTTCTGCTGTCAGGTTTGTCTGGAGCCGTTTGTCTTTTGCAAAAGAGCACGTCTTTGTTTGGACAGTTCTTGTCCCTGAAGTGTTCTACAAGTAGCATCTGGTAAGCACCCCTCCTGGCTTGTGATGACAGCTTAACAGAAAGCATGGAGCAAACTGCGACAGGTCAGAAAACAGTGGTTTCCTCTCTGGAATGTGGATGTGGCTTCCAGAATACTTTTGTTAGCCTATGCTTAAAACAAAACTGCTTTTTTCATGAAGGACCTGAAGTTCCCAATTCCCTGTGCAGTGATAAAAGGAAAGAGGAATAGGTTTTAGAATTTTGATTCCTCAGAGGGCCAAGTGGCAACTTTCAGCACTCCCTTCTCCACCTTTCCATGAGACCATATACACACCTCTACCACAGCACTTATTGATTGGTGTAGTTTTTAGAAGTATGATCGCCTCATTTATTAGACAGTGTGCTCCTTGAAGACAGGACTTGTATTTTATCACTTTTTGTATTTTTGGGTGTCTAATGTAGTATCTGACCTGTTTTAGGAACTCATTCATGCTTGTGGAGTGAAAGAATGAATGAATGGAGTGAATGAACAGTTTCTCTTAGACTATTCCTACTGATTATTATTGTATTCTTTGTGATGTTCTTTGACTTACAGTCCAATTCTATATGATACTATATAAGAATAGGCTTATATGTTTTAATTTTGAGAATATAGGTGGCTTCTGTATTTAATGAACGTCTGAGCCAATAGAAAATAGGACCTATGGATTAAGGGTTCTGGATTTTCTTATTTTGAAAATTAAAAAAAAAGAGTTCAGTCAAGAACCAAATATCCTACCTTCTTATAGAAATATAAGGAGCTCTGGTGGCACAGTGGTTAAGCACTCAGCTGTTAACCAAAAGGTTGGCTGTTTGAATCCACCAGCTGCTCTGTGAGGAGAAAGATTTGGCAGTGCGCTTCCATAAAGATTACAGCCTTGGAAACCCTATGGGACAATTCTACTCTGTTCTGTAGGGTTGCTATGAGTCAGAATTGACTCAACAGCAGTGGGTTTGGTTTTTGGGTTATAGACATTTAAAATGTACTCAAATCTTTTGGGTCATATTATTTCTGTGATTTTTATTGAGTCATTTGGTCTGCTATTGTCAGTACCTTAGGGATAAACATTTTAATTTCTGGACCCCAAGCAAATTAATGTGAGAGGTGCTTTGTCTTGTTCTCTTACTCCAGAAGCTACCCTAGGAATACCCCTCCTTTCAGGTGTCTCTTACCCTACTATCAGGATACATTTTTTTGAGTACCAGTCAAAAAACATGGGGGTCAGACTTTAGTATGTCCTGCTCATTAGTGTAATGGCAAATCTTTATGACAATATTCGATGAAACTACCAGTACATATCATAGGGTTTCAGTGCTGGAATGGAGCTTAGAGGTAACTTAGATCCATTTCCTCATTTTGTGGAGGAAGAAATTGGAAAAAGTAATGTGACCTGGTTAGGCTCACGGTGTGTTATAGTTGGGTTGGGACTAGAATCAGATTTCCCAATGCTTTCAGTTCTGTATGAGATTATTTAATATGCACAGCAATTGCTGTTTTAAAATGGTTACCCTGTTAGGTTGAATTTAGATGTCAACAGGACTTGCTGTATATGTTGGTAGAGAAGATGCCTACTTCTGTAATGTGATTGGAAGGTGCCACATGGCCAACACCTTCACACGTTGGATAGTTCCCTGAGGCGTCTCAGATTCTGACCACAAAGCCAGGCCTTTAGATTAAGGAATTGTGTCCAGGAGACTTGTGTTACAGCATATAGGTTACCTGGTAGGGGAAACATGTTAATATCTAACATATTATTAAGGATTGTCTTGTTGTCACCTGGCTGACTGTACAACCTTGGTGATATGATGAAGTATAAGAAGCTTAATTAAAAAACAAACTTAAAATTTTGAAATAATTATTGATTCACAGGAAGTTGCAAAGACAGTGCAGATAGTTCTCATGTACCCTTTATGTAGTTTCCTCCAATGGTTACATTTTACCTTATTACAGTAAAACAAAAAACAGGAATTTGACATGGGTGTGATGTGTCTGTATAGTTCTATAGGATGCTTAATTTTTTTTTTAAATTTTTTTTGTACTTCAGGTGAAGGCTTACAGAACAAGTAAGTTTCTCATGAAACAGTAGTACACGTACTGTTTTATGACATTGGTTAACAACCCCACAACATGTCAACCCTCTAACTTCTCAACCTTTTTTTTTGG